ACAGAGGTGTATGAATTTTAGTGTGTGTGTGTGTGTGTGTGTGTGTGTGTGTGTTTTAATGATTTTATTTATTTGACAGAGATCACAAGTAGGCAGAGAGGCAGGCAGAGAGAGAGGAGGGGAAGCAGGCTCCCTCTGAGCGGGGATGCTGCGGGGATGCCGGGCTCCATCCCAGGACCCTGGGATCATGACCTGAGCCACCCAGGCGCCCCAATTTTATTGTTTTTACCATAGCACTCCATTATATACATTATATAGAATGTAACTTCCCATAACATTACAAAGGTGAGTACTTCTTATTCCTTTCATTTATGTATGTTTTTATATTTGTTTGTTTTGCATATTTACACCTTGCTATGTTTGTTTATTTTTATTTTTAATTTTTAAATTAAAAAAATTTTTTTACGTCTTGCTATTTTTTAATTTTTTAATACAGTTTATGCATGGGTAGTTCTGTAAGATAAAATTAACCCTCCCCCACCCCAGATACGGTTAGTGCTCTATTTTTATTTTGCTAGTGTTGGGATTAAAGTGAGATGAACGTTTTGACTTACTTTCTAGTAGCTTTTCTCAAGGGAAATACTCCTCATGGCTTTGATGAGTAAAGATTGTTTCAGAAATCTTTTTAGTTCAGCAACTTGTTTACCTAGCATTAGAATAAAATAGTGTGGTTTAAAAGGAAAATAGGGGCGCCTGGGTGGCTCAGCAGGTTAAGCTTCTGCTTTTGGCTCAGGTCATGAACCCAGGGTCCTGGGATTGAGACCCAGGTTGGGCTCTCCGCCCAGCAGGGAGCCTCCTTCTTCCTCTCCCTCGCTGCTCCCCCTGCTTGTGCATGCTCTCTCTTCTCTGTCAAACAAATAAAATCTTTGAAAAAAATCATCAAGTCAACTTAGAAATTCTCTGAAAAGTTATTGTTACATTAAGTGCTTGGGCATCTAAGGTACTCTGTACAAAAATTCTTATTCTCACAGGAATCCTGTATTTTAGTACTGCTAGCAGAATACTTAGTCTTCCGGGGACAGAAAAGGGTGGAATGTGGAAAAGCTTTCCTTAATTAGAGTTAATTTTATATTAATAGGTCACATTCAGTGCTTACTATTGAATAGACAGTTCTTGCTGTTACAATTTCAGTTTCAGATGAAAGAACTGGGGGCACAGAGATTAAGTTATAGCCCAGGAGCAAAGCAAGTGAATGATGTTGGAGAATTTTTCACAGTGAAAATTGGTTAAAGAAATTTAGGGGGGTTCTTTTTATTGTATCTCAATATTTTTTCACTATTCTAAACTAGAGCACTCAGATTTTCCTTAGACTTGGATGGTTCAGTAAAACTGGCAAACTGAAGGTCATGTTTAGTATCTTACCCTCAAGGATTTCTTTTTCTTTTTTAAATTTTATTTATTTAAGGACGGTGTGCACACATACCTGTAAGCAGGGGGAGGGAAAGGGCAGAGGGAGAGAATCTCAAGCAGACCCTGCACTGAGTGGGGAGCCTGATGGCAGGCCTCAGTCTCATCACCCTGAGATCATGATGTGAGCCAAATTCAAGAATTGCACGCTTAACTGACTGAGCCCCCCAGGCACTCCTGAAAGCACTTTCTATATAGAATTTTTGACTTGTAATTTACAGATGATGTAATTATGAAATTTCAAGATTCAGCTTGGATAGTTTTTCTATTGTGTATTTATAATCATCACCCTGAAACAGTTGACCCTTGAACGAGATGAGTTTAAATTCTGGAGTCCACTTGTACATGGATTTTTTTTTTTTAATAATACAGAATGGTGTTGGAAATGTATTATTTCTTTATGATTTTCTTAATATTTTCATTTCTCTAGCTTTATTGTACAAACACAGTATATAATACATATAACAGAAAATATGCATAATTGGATTGTTACTGATTAAGGTTTCTGGTCAGCGGTAGGCTATTGGTTAAGTTTTTGGGGTGTCAAAAGTTATGGAATTTCAACTGTGGGTGGGGTGGGTGTCTGCCCCTAACTGGGAGGGTGGGTATTTGAGGTCAGCTTTACATACATTTCTCTAATGTATGTCTCCAAATACTCAATTATGTTAAACCATTAAGATAATAAAGGAAATGTTGGAAACTTGGTAAATGATAGGGATTTTAGTATTGTCTTCAGTTTAATAACTGTTAAGAAAAATCTACAAATGAGATGGAGATCAATTTAGCATATAAATTTTTAGCTTTACTTTTTTCTTAGCTTTAGGGGGATAACCAGAAATAAAATATTTGTAATGGTATAATCAAGCCAATAAGCTTTCTTTTTTCCTTTAATTTGAATTACATAGGTAATCTCGAAGGAGGGGAAAAAAAGAGAAGTTTTAGAGGTGGTCTACAGATTATAATTTTTCTTCTGTTTGATACATAATCTGGAGGATTTTTATTATATTGCATAGTAATACTGGGTGAGAAAGTAATATTTGGTAAAATGTCTTTTAGTAATTTATCTTACGATGAGACTGCTTGGCAGTGTCTAAGGACGCGGTTAGGTGATATTACTGGTCTGGGAGTGACACTTGTAATGCCGCTGGCTTCAAGAGCAGATGGTGCTCAAGAGAAGTAAGTGCAACTGGAATAGAAAAATAGGGGTTTGCTTAATGTGTACTGTATTTGATTTGTCTGTCTTGTGAAGGTTCCCCTTAAATTGCTTTTTATAGTGTGGATGTATTATGTATTTTGGATAATAGAGGGAAGCAAAACTTTCTGTTCAGCCTCTTTATGTATTAGAAAATATGCAAGCACAACTTAATGGAAGGAAAATGATACTACCGGTTTCTGAGAAATTGGGAGAGCTATCTTCCATTTGTGAGACTAGTGGGATCTGGGAGTGTGAAGGAATCACATTGGATTTTTCCTTTTATTTGAGGTTGGGTCAGATGTTAGTGATTTTCAGAGTAGCCAATCCCTTTTAAGAAAGGAAAATTTATATGGGAACTGTAAAATATATTTAAAAAGCGCAGTTGCTCTGGTTTGTATGAAGTAATGGGAAATATTAAAACTTGAAAACCATAGGCTTAGATAACTGTTAGTACCTTCTACTGTCCATCCGTAGCTTTGAAGTTCTGAAAAATTAAGGATCAGTAAGAACATCTGAAATTACCTTTTTTTTTTCCCCTTTGGGACTCTGAGCCACACAAGAAATAGAACAATTTCTCATTCTGCCTTAGTCTAAGTACATTAGTTTAAGACCTAAAATCCAGATTCTTGCTATTGATATTCTCTTAACCATGCTTACAGGTAAACTGGTCTCCAGTATGACTGGGAAAGTATTTTGTATTGATCTAGTGCCTGTAATCTGGAGAAAATACAGACTAGCCTTGAACTAATTGCTTAGATTTTGGTGAAGAATAATACAATGCACTAGATAAGGATAAACAGATCTCCACAAATTGTTCAGGTTTGACCAGTCTGTTTTGCCCGTCCTTTGAGAAAACTGAAGTAAAATTTCTTGCCTGTTTTTTATACTGAAATTGATCTGTACATGTCTCTGTTTACCTGTGTGTTTAACTTCAGGATGATTTTATCTCCTCAAATGAAAAATTGGATTTTATTTCATGCCAGATATTTTTTCCAGAAAGTTTTGTTTTGAAAATGACTGACAGTAATTGAGGACTTACTGTGTGTGTGCCAGCTGCTTCTCTTAATACTCACAGATAATAAGGATACTAACTTTAAATCATCATGATTTTGAGGTGTTGAGATTATTTTGTTGAGTAATAACATTTTGTTTAACTCACCCATTTTCAGATTATTTTTGGTGTCATCATGAAGTAAGCTCAGAATTTTTAGATTTTGTGGTTCTTGATTAAAGATACTAAAAAATTTTCTGATTTAGTTAGACTAAAAATGTGATCATATATGCCTCTGTGTCAAAATTTATCACTCTTGAATCTAATACTGCCACAAATAAGAAGTGTTTGGATGGGACGCCTGGGTGGCTCAGTCGGTTAAGCAGCTGCCTTCCACTCAGGTCATGATCCCAGGATGCCGGGATCGAGTCCCACGTAGGGCTCCCGGCTCTGTGGGGAACCTACTTCTCCCTCTGCCTGCTGTTCTCCCTACTTGTGCTCACTTGCTCTTTCTCTCTCTCTGACAAATAAATAAATAAAACCTAAAAAAAAAAAAAAAAAAAAAAAAAGAATGTGTTTGGAATCTTAGAACCAGAACACTCTTAATTGGGTTTAAAAATACGGAGAAGTTAACTATAGGGTGCATGCTAGAAATATGTACCTTTGATTTTCTTATATTCATTTTGAAGAAATTGACTGTTGGGAATAATGAATTCTTTATCGTGAATCGTCCCCTTCCCCTTACTATTCATCTCATTGCAATAAATTTGACTAAAAATCCTGTCTGTGTGGGTTTTATTTGTTCTTATGGTTTTTATTTTTTAAAACCAAGAGCTGTTCTTGTGCCTTGTTGTACTTTGACTTGTTTTTTTTTTTTTAAGATTTTGTTTGTTTATTTGACAGACAGAGATCACAAGTAGGCAGAGAGGCAGGCGGAGAGAGAGGAGGAAGCAGGCTCCCCACTGAGCAGAGAGCCCGATGCGGGGCTGGATCCCAGGCCCTGGGATCATGACCTGAGCCAAAGGCAGAGGCTTTAATCCACTGAGCCACCCAGGCACCCCGAGTTTCATTTATTTATTTATTTATTTTATTTAATTAATTAATTTATTTATTTTAAAGATTTTATTTATTTGTCAGAGAGAGAAAGAGAGAGAGAGATCACAAGTAGGCCGAGAGGCAGGCAGAGGCAGAGGGAGAAGCATGTTCCCTGACGAGCAAGGAGCCCGATGTGGGACTCGATCCCCGGATGCTGGGATCGTGACCTGAGCCAAAGGCAGCCACTTAACCAACTGAGCCACCCAGGTGTCCCCCGAGTTTTATTTAAATGATTATATTTCCTCCCCTGCCACTTTCCTCCTTGTACTTGATATTTCACTTTGAACATACTTGACATTGTTTTCCCCCCAGGTTGAATTGACCAAAGCAATGGTTATGGAGAAGCCTAGTCCCCTGCTGGTCGGGCGGGAATTTGTGAGACAGTATTACACGCTGCTGAACCAGGCCCCAGACATGCTACACAGGTAAGACATTATTTTTTACCCTGTGAGTACTTAATACTACTAGAGTCTCTTAATGCATCATGCACCTTGTAGGGCTGTTGCATAATAGTGCTTGGTACATAAGAACCAGTAAATAATTTCTGTTAAAATTATTTTTTAAAAAGATTTTAAAAGATTTATTTATTTATTTGAGGGCGTGAGCCTGCACAGGTGCTAGCAGGGGGAGGGGCAAAAGGTGAGGGAGAGAATCCCAAGCAGACTCCCTGCTGAGTGTGCAGCCCATGGTAGGACTGTCCCACGACCCTGAGACCATGACCTGAGCTGAAATCGAGAGTCAGATGCTTAATTGAGTGAGCTCCCCAGGTATCCCTAAAATCATAATTTTAAATAGAATATACAAGTAGAAAGAAATTAGACTAAGTTACCTAAACTTACCCATTATCAGAAAAATAGTGTCTGAGAATATAAAGGTATATTTATGCTTTTGTTTGTTTTTTTGTGCTGTTTTTGATGAATCTTGAATATTTAGTGAATGTGTTGAAGACTGTTCCTGTAATAATACTTTTGTGTTGTGTTGATGTGCTTTTGAAAATTGGGGAAACTTCAGTGGAAATGGTATAGGCTTGTAAATTAAGTTTATGAAGTAAACATGGAAAGTTTAGTAAAAACCATATTTGCAATTTTTTTCTCTATATGCAGATTTTTTACATACTGTCTTTTAGCTTTTCTACTTGATAATCTGGGGTCCTCCTTAAGGGTACTGCATGTATTAACATTAATTTTAGCATCTTATAGAGATGTAGCATACTTTAATCCCCACTGATGAATTTTTCTTGGTTGCTTCCATTATTTCCTCTTACAAACAGTCTTGCATTATACAGGACTATAAATATGTCTACTTACGTGGACTTGTTAGAATGATTTCTTGTTTCTTTTCTTTTCTTTTCTTTTTTTTTAAAGATTTATTAGAGCAAGAGTGTGCATGTGCTTGGCAGGGACAGAGGGAGAGGGAGAGAGAGTCCTAAGCAGACTTCTTACTGAGTGTGGAGCTGGATGTGGGGTTCAATTTCATGACCCTGACATCAAGACCTGAGCTGAAACCAGCAGTTGGACATTTACTAACTGTGCCACTGAGGCGCTCCTAGAATATTTCTTAGAGTTCCTAAAATGTGTATTTGCTGGACCAGACTATTTTCCTCTATACGTTGACGAGCTTGCGTATTAGGTACTACATGCTTATTGGGTGCAAAAGGAAATTTATAAATTTGTTTTGAATTTTGCTCTGAAAATGGAAAATACCTCATATTCTTTTAAGGCTTTATAGTTTTCCAGTTTTACGTGTTTCTTATAGGTCTTTACAAAAACCTTTAGTAAAGCATTGTTAGGATAGCTTTATTTTTCAGATAAAGATGGTAAGGGGTTAAAAATTTGCTGGTGTTGACATGACTGTTAACTGATTGAACAGGTTTTAAAGCTTTTTCCTTTTTTCTTTTTATGTTTTATGTCAGAATTTGATTCTGTGCCCTCAGGTTAGATAAGTTTGGAAATTTGAAAAGGAGCAGGAGTTGAAAGATAATTAAATGAGTCAATATGTTTCTTGTCAATATTGATGTATATTGACGTCAGCACCTCTTTTTTCACATTTTATCTCTGAAGTACAGCTTAGATACACAGGCATATCTCATTTTATTGTGTTTTGCTTTATGGTGCTTTGCAGATATTTTGCAAATATTTTTCAAATTTTTTCATTATTATATTTGTTAATGGTAATCTATGATCACTGATCTTTGTTATTATTATAGTTATATTGGGGTTCATGCCCATCCATATAAGACCATGAACTTAATGTTCAATAAATGTTTTGTGTCTTCTGACTCCTCCACCAATGGCTGTATCCCATCTCTCTCCCTGTTTCCTGAGACACAACAATATTGAAATTAGGCCAGTTATTTAACCTTATTACAATTGCTTTTTACTGTTAAGTGAAAGGAAGAGTCCCATGTTTCTTCCTTAAAAGCCACAAGTAAGCTTAATGAGGAGGGAATGCTGAAAGCTAGGACAGGCCAAAAGCTAGACCTCTTGGACCAGTTAGCTAAGTTCTGAGAGCAAAGCAGAAGTTTTTGAAATTAAAAGTGCTACTGGAATGAACGCACAAGTAATAAGAAAGCAGAACAGCCTTATTGTGGATATGGAGAAAGTTTGAGTAGTTTGAAGATTGAACAAGCCACAACATAATGGAAATTTATTTTAATGGAAATTAAGCCAAAGTCTAATCCAGAGCAAGGCCCTTACTCTTCAGTTCTGTGAAGGCGGACCGGTGACACAGCTGCCGCGGTAGAGTTTGAAGCTGGCAGGCATTGGTTCGTGAGGTTTAAGGGAAGAAGCTCTTTCCATAAAATGAAAGTGCAAGGCGAAGCAGCAAGTGCTGATGTGGAAGCCGCAGCGAGTTCTTCAGATCTAGCTAAGGGAATTAATGAAGGCGGCTACACCACACAACAGATTTTCAGGGTAGATGAAACAGCCTTGTATTACTGGAAGTGATTCATGGGAAGATGTCAAAATATCAAGAGAACAGGAGTGAAGAAGTTGATTCCAGCCCTCATAGATGATTTTCGTGGGTTCACAACTTTAGTGGCGGAAGTAACTGCAGATGGGGTGGAAATAGCAAGAGAATGAGAATGAGAAGTGGAGCCTGAAGATGGAACTGAATTGCTGCGGTAACTTTTAAGACTTGAACCAATGAGGAACTGCTTATGGATGAGCAAAGAAAGTGATTTCTTGAATGGGATCTACCGGTGAAGACGCTGTGAAGATTGTTGAAATGACAACATGATAGGTTATTACATAAACTGAGTTGTTAAGGCAATGTCAGGATTAACTGAAAGGATTAACTTCCAGTTTTGAAAGAAGTTCTGTGAGTAAAATGCTTCAAACAGCATCACACACTGTAGAGAAATTGTTAGTGAAAGGACGAGTCAATTGATGGGGGAAACTTCATTGTGGTCTTTAAGAAATTGGCATGGCCGCCCAGCCTTCTGCATGTTCTACCCTGATCAGTCAGCAGCCATCCACATTGAGGTAAGAGCCTCCACGAGCAAAAAGATTGGGACTCACTGAAAGCACAGGTGATGGTTAGCAATTTTTAGCAGTATAGTGTTTTTTAATGTATGTGCACTGTTTTTATAGAATTACTGTTGCACACTTGATAGACTATAGTGTAGACATAACTCTATATGCACTGGAAAACCAAAAAAGTTTTTCAACTCTATTTATTGCAATATTCTCTTCCTTGTGGTCTGGAACCGAACTTGAAATGTCTGTGAGATAATGCCTGTAATGAAAAGTGGATTAGCCAGGGACGCCTAGGGGGCTCAGTGGGTGAGGTGTTTGCCTTCTGCTCAGGTCATGATCCCAGGGTCCTGGAATCAGGTCTTGCGTTGGGCTTCTTGCTCAGGAGGGGGTCTGCCTCTCCCTCTGCCCGTCTCTCCCCCTACTTGTGTGTGCCCTCTCTGACAGGGAAAAGTGGATTAGCCATCAGTGAACTGATTCACTGGCTGACTCACAGCCTTTTATAACTTTAAAATTTTCAGGGTATACTTGGGGTAACTGTGGGCCCAAATCTGTTTTCTTTTTGGGAGGGCAGGCAGAATCAGGATGTTGAATGACATGTATGGGTTCATTTGTGAAAAGTTGTATACCTGTAGTGTAGCTATCAAGAAATCCTAATAGCAGTTATCTCTGCATTGTGGCACTTTTGGTTATGTCTGTGTCAGGTTTTCCTGATCCAGTATTAAAATGAAAACAAAACAGTTGAGGGTATAGATGAATTATAGCTATGGGAACTTAAAGTTTGAAGTTCTTAATGCATCAGCAGAATTGTTAAATTACTTTTAAACCTCAACTGCGTGAGTTACTGGGTTTTTATTTTATTTCACGTTAAGTAGGCTCTGTGCCCATCATGGAGCCCAACGTGGGGCTTGAACTCTCAGAACCCAGATCAAGGTCTCAGCCGAGATCAAGAGTTGCACTTAAATGACTGAGCCACGCAGCTGTCTAGTAACTGGGTTTTTCATGGAAACCCCTCACGTGCATTCTCAGATCTATAGAAGGATTGGACTCTCCAAGCCTATGAGAGGGTATAGATGGCCTTACCTGTATCCAAACTGCCTGTTGGCTTCTAGAGTGAAAACAGAAACTTCTGTTTCATTCTAAGTAAGTAGCCGTCCTGACATGAACTAAAAGATCTTTGCCGGTGCAGTCATCCTACTCTGAAATCTGGAGCTTACATCTTGTAAAATAAGTGTTCTGCCTCATTGACCAAATCTGTTTTGTTCAGCAAATCTTGAGTGACATGAAGTAAGGGGGTAGATCTATGATTCTATACAGAGATGAAAAAGAAAACACATCTTGCTTTCAGGAGTCTGCCATTGAGGCAAGTGGGTACCAAACAAAATATAAGTATCTAGTTTTGGCTACTTGAAACTGACAAGAAAATTGTCTGTTTTTCAGGTTTTATGGAAAGAACTCTTCTTATGTCCATGGGGGATTGGATTCAAATGGAAAGCCAGCAGATGCTGTCTATGGACAGAAAGTAAGCATCCCAGGCTTTCTGCAGCTTGTTAACGCAACTAGAAAATAACCCATACAATTGAGGCAGATAAGTATTTGGTAGATTTACTGATACTTAAAGATCAAATTTCCAAATTTCTTTTTTAGAAATTTTGGTATTCGTAATGATTTGGTAAATATAGCCATTGGAAAGCTTAGAGCGTCATATTTGTTCATTTTGAATCCTGTAGTCTGAAGGTTTTTTGTTTAGGAGGTTATTTTATTTTAGCATGAGGATCATTCATTTAAACATTTTTTAGGTATGTCAATTCAGTTTAACAGTTTTAAAAAGTTCAAGGTGGTCACTGGGAATGAACTGTTTTAAGGCAAATTTAGAGTATGGGCTGTGTAGTTTGTAATTTAAGTATGCAAATTAACTCTACTTGTGTTGTATCAGGAAGTTCTTTGTTGTTGGAAATTTGTGTAAATGTTACCTAAGTCATTAACTCTTGCTTTGATTCCTTAGGAGATCCATAGGAAAGTGATGTCACAAAACTTTACCAATTGCCACACTAAGATTCGCCATGTTGATGCTCATGCCACTCTGAATGATGGTGTAGTGGTCCAGGTGATGGGGTTGCTCTCTAATAACAACCAGGCTTTGAGGAGATTCATGCAGACTTTTGTCCTTGCTCCTGAGGTATGAAAAAAGAAACAATGAAAGTTTGTGCATATCTTTTAAGAAACTATTCATTTTGAATTTCAAACTTAGAGAAAAGTTATAATAATAGTACAATAATTCATACTCCTTACCTAGAACCACTGCCAGCACTTGCCTATATGTTTGTTATTCTTTTTCTGTTTACCTGTCATTTTAATTCAAAATCATTTTGAAAATAGGTTGGAGGCATCAAGCCTAGTCATCCTTAGATAATTCAGTGAGCATTTCCTAAGTGTAAGGTATACTCTTTCATAACCACAGTACAGTTAACAATTTAGGAAGTACTGATGTTAATACAATTAGGATTCTGTAGCCCATATTTAAATTTTGGTGTTTGTTCCAGGAATATCCAATGTATTTTTTTTTCCTGGTCCAAGATTCAATCCAAAATTACACATAATATTGCTGTCATGTCTCTTCAGTCTCCTTTAACGTGCAATAATTCTTTAATTTTCTGTTTTTTATGGCATTGACATTTTTAAAGAGCGCAAAGTACTTTGCAGACTACCTCAGTTTGAATTGTCTATTTCTTTATGATTAGATTTAGGTTATACACACATTAGTCTTTTAGTGCCTCACATTAGGAAGGCACTGGATGTCATTTACTCCTATCTATTAGTGATGTTAATAATTAATGACTAAGTTAAGGTGATGGTCACCACGTTTTGCCACTGTGAAGGTAGCATTTTTATTTTTCTTACTAGTAAATTGTGGTTGCTGTCTTTGAGACTGTCTTGTTCTTCATCAGACTTTGCTAGTTTTAGCATCATTGTTGCTGGAGTCAGCTGCTACTCTGATGGTAATAAATGGTGATTATCTATTTCTATCATTTGGTATTCATTAGTTGGCATTTTACAGTACTCTGCCTTCTGTTTGCTGTTATTTGTGGAGTCTTTGTTTATTTCATGGATTTAAACCACTAATTAATGTCTGTGAACCACTAGTTAATGTCTAAAATACCCCAGGTCTATTAAGTCTGAGCTCCTTCAAGCTGGCTTCTGTTATTTGTTTTGGCAAAGGGACCACTTCATAACTTTTGTGAAACAAGATGTTTCAGTCTCATCTTGGACTCTCCCTGCTCCAGCCCCAGCTCCTGTTTGGCATCTGCTATTTCTTCAAGGAGTCCTGGTTCTTTTTAGTTAACCATGCTTGTCACGAAAGGGCCACACGTTTATTTGAGTAATTACATTTGTACTGTCTTTCTGACTGGTGCAGACTGAATAGAGTCAGGGCACCTATCTCCATAAGCATGTGGAAGTGGCTCAGTAGTGATTAGATGTTTTCTCTAGCATTATCCTTAAGATAATTTTCTGTCTGGAATGATGAATCTAAAGCCCCAATCTTTTTACTCTTAGAATATACTTACTATCTTTTTGAAAAATTACAGGTTTTTAGTCATGAATTTTAGAGGATGGCTTAGATTACCTGTAGAGTAAAACTTGATGGACTTCTAACTATACAAAGAATCATGTGGGATATGATTACCAATTATTTCCAGTTAAAGTTCCTTCTCCTGTTAAAGAGGAAGAATCTAACATTATCTTAGTATGATGCATTGTTACATGAACTGTCTCAAAGCAAATACTAATACTCAAAGCTGTAAGATGGTATCTTTTTTTTTTTGAACAAATGAGACAGTGTTAGACACTGAGTAACTAGTTATGACATAGTTGGATTTATACTCTGATGTGTCTTCTGCCTAGTGTGGGCAAACCTTTCAGCTGTACCATCATTGAGTGCTTATATCAATATTGTTGGATACAGATTAAGGGAATTTTAAATACCTGCTGCGGTTGGTAGTATGTATTTATTGTTCAAAAAATGATTTGAGGTGTGTGGCATCTTATATACTTAGAGTTTTACTAATGTTTGGATATTCGTCTGGTGGTATTTTAAGGAAGCAATATATTTGACTGTGGTTTTTAATGGCTGTAATGTAGAGCAGGGTTTTTCATGGTGTTATTAACATTTTGGGCAAATAATTTTCTTGTGGCTGGCTGTTCTGTGCATTGTGGGATGTTTAGCAGCACCCTTGCTCTCTTCTCAAGCTTCAGTTGCACTCCCCATGTGAAAACTGAAATCTCTCCAAACACTGTCGAATGTCTTCTGTTGGTGCATATTTTCCGTAGCTGAGAATCACTGGTGTAGGGTGGTTTGGCTTTTTGAAAGTCTGCTGAATAAATGAAAAGTTTTTGTTGGCATTGCAGGGCTCTGTTGCAAATAAATTCTACGTTCACAATGATATCTTCAGATACCAAGATGAGGTCTTTGGTGGCTTTGTAACTGAGCCTCAGGAGGGTAAGTTAATTGTCTAAATAATTATTATTTTTTTTTTGATGGCATGAGGTTGACTTGAAGAGAGTATGGGTTTCTTGAATGTTTTTATTACAGTCTATATTCTTCATTAATAACTTCTAATTGTCAAGATGGAGGAAGGGTCTGAGTTTTTGAACCTATGTGGAACTGATAGGTTAGCTTTTTTCATGGAAGACCTAAAACTCCTTAATAATAGGTAATTACTCACTGCAACAGTGTTAAGCATTTTTGCCACAATTTCCACAGGACACCATGAAGTCCAGATGATACCTGCATTGGAGTGGGGTTCATTATAGGAGTGGAACCTTAAGTTTAAGGAATCAAAATCTTTATAATGGGCAGTAAACATACCTGCCCTGTGCTCTGGAGGGAGACACTATTTTTCTGAGGCTGTTTGCTGTATAAATGTTCTTAAAAGATAGTTCGTAACAAGATGTGCAGATACATGAGAAAGCCATGACGAATTGTCTCTAAACACTAATAATAGTCAGTGTATTAGTGTTTTCTATATGGCTGAAATGAGTCTAAGTGCTTTATATTTATTGTGTAATACAACAGGCTTATAAGTAAGTACTTTAAGTACTGTTCTCATTTAATGGATTAGGGCACTGAGATGCCGAGAAGTAATTTGCTTGATACTGTATAGCTAGTTAGGTGGTGGAGCCTGCATTGGACTATGGACAGTATGACCTCAGACTCCCATGTTCGTAACCCAAACACTGTAATAGCCTTAATTCTGTCCTTAGAGCCTTTGCCATGATACCACCAAATTGCAGCATTTGCTTTATTTTATTTATTTCATTACTTCTTTTTATTTTAGTTTCGTATGTAAGATAAGTGATTCCATAATTTCATATAATCCTATTGCTCATTACATATACACCTCTTAATCCCCAACACATATTTAACCCATTCTTCCACCCACCTCATTACTTTTTTGATAATGATGAGCATTGTGAAAGTAAATAGAAAGCTGACTTTTGAACAACATGGGGGTTAGGAGCACTCCACACCCCCGCCCCCCCACAATTGAAAATCCCAGTGTAACTTTTCACTCTATAAAAATTAAACTGCTAATAGCCCATTGTTGACTGGAAACTTTACTGATAACAAATAGTCAATAAACACATATTTTGTATATGTATTATATACTGTATTCTTAAGGTAAAGAAAAGGAAGTACTGTTAAAATCTTTATAAGGGGGAGTGCCTGGGTGCCTCAGTCATTAAGCGTCTGCCTTTGGCTCAGGTCATGATACCAGGTTCCTGGATCTAGCCCTGAGTCGGGCTCCCTGCTCAGCAGGGAGTCTGCTTCTCTCTTTTCTACTCCCCCTGCTTGTGTACACTCTCTAGCTGTCTCTGTCTCTCTCTGTAAAATAAATAAAATTTAAAAACCTTTATAAGAAAGAGAAAATACATTTATAGTATTGTAGCGTATATATTTGTCCAGAAAAATCTGCGTATAAGTGGACCCGCACAGCTCAAACCCTCTTGTGCAAGGGTCATCTCTATTTGAGAATTAAATAAGCACTAATTACTTGAATTTTGTTTTCTTACATAGAATCTGAGGAAGAGGTAGAGGAACCTGAAGAAAGACAGCAGACACCTGAGGTGGTACCCGATGATTCTGGAACTTTCTATGATCAGACCGTCAGGTAAGAAAAACTTTGTTCATCTGTCAGGAGCTGCATGAGAAGTTGGTTGTCTTGTCTTCCCCTTTGTTAGAGGGGGGTCATATTCTCTCAGAATTATGTCAGAATAGAACAGTAATTTCTTAGAAAAAAGGTTTTGCTTTTGATTATCTGAGCTGAGAAAAATGCTATAACTTGCTTGGCAGTAAGTGAAAAATAGGTTTTGGGATTTCTTATCAAGTATTTAATACATGAAGGCATTGGATTAAGTGCTTTGGGGGGCATAAATTTGTTCAAGGACTTAAAGATCAGGCATAAATTGATAAAAATTCAGACATGAATTAAATAGCAGTTAGTTTCATTAATTAACTCAGACACTAAACGTGTGACTGTCTTAAGCTGTGTTTTTTCCTCTGTATCCAGAACAGAAATTTGTTTGATAGGAATAGAAATGAATATCTACTAGATGCCATGTGATATGAAACTGTTGGTGTTAGTATTTCGTGATTAAAGGATATTTTTATGTATTTCTCAAGGTGTGGTGATGGACTATAACCACATTACTCACCTGGGTTGCTAGTTGAAAATAATCTATTGTCCCACCACAAACATGCCAAATTAGAATTTCAGGGGGAAAAACTGCAACATTAACATTGCTTGTGCTTTAAGAGCTAGTATTCTGAATCGTAACTAAAATTTCTTTATAATGAGAGGCTTTTTTGATGGTAAAAATTGCATAATATAAAATTTACCTTCTTAACCATTTTTAAGTGAATTGTGTAGTAATGTTTATATGCATATAATTGTGCAACAGATCTCTAGAACTTTTCATCTCGCAAAACTACAACTATACCCTTTGGAAAACTCTTTCCCCCTTTCCTACAGCCTATTAATCTTTTGTTATATGTAGTAGGTAAATTGTGAGAGGTTTTTGTGTTGTAACAGAAATCATAATTTGGTTCATTTCGATTTATTTTGATGTATTTGCTTATCAGAATTTAGCAAATCTGATTGCAGTTAAGATTTGGTCATTGAGTGCTCTACTAAAAAGTTGTCTTGTTTTAATATTCAGATATGGAATTCCTAGATTTTTTTTGGAGAGAGGGAGCTATTTTTTGGTTCAGGTCTCTATAGTTAATAAACACTTGGGAATTTCTTGCTAAATCAGTAGAGGCAGAATGATATTTCTCAAATTTTCCTATGAAAGCAATGACTTAGAAGAACATTTAGAGGAACCTGTTGCTGAACCAGAGCCAGATCCTGAACCAGAACAAGAACAGGAACCTGTGTCTGAAATCCAGGAGGAAAAGTCTGAGCCAGTACTGGAAGAAACTGCTCCTGAGGATGCACAGAAGAGTTCTTCCCCAGCACCTACAGACATAACTCAGACAGTACAGGAAGACTTGAGGGTATGCAATGTGTCTTTATTCTTACTCTGTTTCTGGTTTATTTTTAAAGATCTTTCTTTTCCTTTATTATTGTTACATTGGCTTTTGTAGGCACATTTTATGGTTCAGGGAAATTTCTTACATATTGAGCCATACCTCAGATAAGAAGTAAGTTGCATATCATTTTATGTAAGTAACTGTCCTCCCCTCCCAAGGCAACTTGAATACTTTATATTAGAGCAGAAATTTCAGATGCTCTTTTATCACCATATCCTTAACCTCTTATTTTTTAAATATTTTGTTTCAAACCGTAACTTGTTTCTTAAAACCAGTAAGTGATAGTGTATCTTTTTGAAAAATACTATGGCACAATAGACTTACTCCTGCTTTTTTCCTGAAATCTAATTGAGGATAACTTTACAGTAGAAGTAGAAACTGTGAAATGTAGCTGTTCTTCTAATTAGAATACTTGATTTCAAAAATTTGAAACTTTGCAGTTAGTCCTCATAACTGAAATCACAGAACCTTTGCATTTGATGCTCTATGAAGGAATATGTTTTAATGCTTTATATGTGGGATCAGGGTTCGTATGCCATTTATCAGTTAATTCAAGTGCTTCTGTGATAGGCATTATTCTAGGTATGGGAACTATTGGTAAAACATAGTATTCTTGGTGTCTCTCTGGCAGTGATTAGGGGAGTAGGAAAGAGAAATGTGAAATGACTTCAACTTGCAGGTAGAAAAGTAGGCTGGAATGGGAAGGTGCCGTTGTAGTCCTGGTGAGAAATACTGATAACCTCGGGTTAAGGTTGTGGCAGTGAAGATACAAGGTAAATAGGAAGATTTGGTAAATTTGATATGGATTGAAAAGGTGTTAAGGTAATTCGAAAGTTGATGTCATTGAATTGATGCTTGTACCATCAGTTGGGGGAATCATGGGAGGAAGAACTGGTTTTGGAGGGAAGAATTTTCTTTGATTCACAAACCTGAAATTGAGTGAAAAGAGCTTTTTTTTTTTAAGATTTTATTTATTTGACACAGACACAGCGAGAGAGGGAACACACGCAGGGGGAGTGGGAGAGGGAGAAGTAGGCTTCCCACTGAGCAGGGAGCCGGATGTGGGGCTCAATCCCAGGACCCTGGGATCACGACCCAAGCCAAAGGCAGACGCTTAACCAACTGAGCCATCCAGGCGCCCTAAAAGGAGCTTCTTAAGATGCTAAACCTTTGATTTTTTGCTATACTTGATGACTAGTCCTAGGGAATTTTAGTACTAAATTTTGTAAGTAGAAGGAGAAAAGGAATCTTGAGATACTTACTCTATTCTACCTGCGAAAATGTGATTACTATATATAAGAAAAGAAGAACTAACAGCTTTTATGTTCTTTTGATACGGGTAATCAACTAATGTTTTTGTTCCTTTAGACATTTTCTTGGGCATCTGTGACCAGTAAGAACCTTCCACCCAGTGGAGCTGTTCCAGTTACTGGGATACCACCTCATGTTGTTAAAGTACCAGCTTCACAGGTGAGTTTCTAAGCTTGTATATTAGGCACATTTGCCTGTATTTCATGTCATCAGGTTTCATTGTAGGTTTAGAGAATGTTGGAACTGGTACACAGAGTAGAGAAGAGGTGGTTTTTTAGTAATTTTGTGAGAGAATTGTCATTTTTTCCTTTAGATTTATTTATTTGAGAGAGAAAGCATGAGTGTGCATTTGTGCTCGAGGGGAGGGACGGGCAAGCCCACTCTGCACTGAGTTCGGAGCACCGCATCCGGCTGCATCCTGGGACCCTGGGATCATGACCTGAATTGAAACCCAGAGTCGGATGCTCAGCTGACAGCTACCCAGGCGCCCCTGTCATTTTCTCTTTTAAACGTAATTGTCAGCGAAGAAACTTTATAAGAAAAAAGGTCAGCTTGCTTTGTTTTTACATAGAAGTTGACTTCTACATTTTTCAGCCTCGTCCGGAGTCTAAGCCTGAATCTCAGATTCCACCGCAGAGACCTCAGAGGGATCAGAGAGTGCGAGAACAACGAATAAATATTCCTCCCCAGAGGGGACCTAGACCAAGTAAGCGCTCAGAAGGGTGACTTCTCTAGGTGGGGGCAATACGAGGTGAGAGCTTGTTTCTTAGGGGTGGTTGATACTTTCTACTTTAAAAAATTTTGGAGTTAATGGAATTACCTGGGTTTAGGGGTGGAGAAAAAAATTATTGAATGAAATAGTCACTGAAAAATGTCTTTCTCTGTCTTTCATTGCTGTTTTTGTTAAGTCCGTGAAGCTGGTGAGCAAGGTGATGTTGAGCCCCGAAGAATTGTGAGACACCCTGATAGTCACCAACTTTTCATTGGCAATCTGCCACATGAAGTGGACAAATCGGAGCTTAAAGATTTTTTTCAAAGTAGGTTGAGTTTTATTTATTTTTGATTTATACATTTTTCTTTTTTTTAAGATTTTGTTAATAGAGAACAAGAGACCGAGAACAAGTCGGGGGAGGGGCAGAGGGAGAAGCAGAACAGGGAGCCCAACCTCGGACTCCATCCCAGGACCCTGGGGATCATGACCCCAGCTGAAGGCAGACGCTTAACTGATAGAGCCGCCCAGATGCCCTAAGTAGGTTGAGTTTTAAACACTTGATTCATCTAATGCAATGTTGTCCGATAGAAGTACATAAGACACATACATAATATTAAGTTTTTTAGTGGACATATTTTACATTTTCTTTTTTTTTAAAGATTTTTAAAAAAAAATTTATTTGAGAGAGTGAGAGAGAGCATGAGAGGGGAGAAGGTCAGAGGGAGAAGCAGACTCCCCATGGAGCTGGGAGCCCTATGGGGGACTCAGTCCTGAAAACTCCAGGATTATGAGCTGAAGGCAGTCGCTTAACCAACTGAGCCACCCAGGTGCCCTACTGGTTGTATTTTAAAACGTAGAAAGAAACTGGAGAATTTAAATATTTTATTTAACCCATTGTATCTAAAACATTTCAACATGTGAAAATGAGAGATTTTGTTTTTCTTTATTAAGTCTTTGAAGTCCAGTGTGTATTATACTTAATGGCACTTCTTATTTTGGAATTTGGAATTGTGTTCTAATCAGTTATTTGAGAATCTGTGTTTCTCTCGCAGGTTATGGGAATGTGGTGGAGCTACGCATTAACAGTGGCGGGAAATTACCCAATTTTGGTTTTGTTGTGTTTGATGACTCTGAGCCTGTTCAGAAGGTCCTTAGCAACAGGGTAAGCAGTTTTTCATCTTGATTTTTTTCTTTATTTTGACAAGAGTATCTTGGATCTTTGAATGTATTCACCCTTCAAACTGTGTCTTAGGAGTAAAGTACAGTTAGTTCCCACATATTTGGGTAATAAATTCCATAATGATTGGCCATACTCTTAAAAGACTTGCCTGAAAGTTTAACAAAACTTCTGTCTACAATAACTTAATTTTGGAGCCATTGAATGAAAAGATTGAAATAACTAACAGTTACCAGTGCACTGAAATTTATGCAGATCTCTTTCCTTGAGTGCGTTTCTGATTTTGGAGATGAAATACAGTGTTAACTTTGAGCGGGGGTAACTTAGGAGCCAGCTTTCTCTGGGCAATTTTGATAAATGACTGTTTTCTGGGCCTAACTATGAGGAGCTTCTCCTTTTATTCTCTGACTTGTCTAGGTTGGAGTCAGCCTGCCTGGAACCACTTTTATTAACAGATCTCTTCTTACCAGTCACTTTCTAATAATAAGAGGGATTTTGTAGAATTGGAATCTTATTACTGTGTAGTTCTTAAGGAGCCCTTTCCTCCCCCCACATCTTTCATTAGCAAAAAATCACTTTTTAGTATTAGTCGTAGTAGTAGTAGTAGAGAAGAACAAAAGTGTAAATATTTATTTACTGAGATGGGTGTGTGAGAGTTTAAAAATCTCACTTTTTAAAAAATGAGGTGATGGGGTACCTGGGTTGGCTCAGTGGGTTAAAGCCTCTGCCTTCGGCTCAGGCCATGATCTCAGGGTCCTGGGATGGAGCCCTGCAACGGGCTCTCTGCTCAGCGGGGAGCCTGTTTCCCTCTCACTCTCTGCCTGCCTCTCTTTGTACTTGTGATCTCTCTGTCAAATAAGTAAATAAAAAATCTTTTAAAAAAATGAGGTGAAATTCACATAACATAAAATCAACCATTTTAAAGTGTAAAATTAGGGCTTTTAATTTTACACGTTGTTGTGCAACCTGTCTTGCTAGAAAACATTTTCATCAGAAGTAAACTCTTTATTCATTAAGCAGTCCTTTCCCGTATCCTCTCTCCCCAGCGCTCGGCAACAGCTAATCTTTCAGTCTCTGCAGATTAAAACTACACATTTTATTAACCATGTAGATCATTATTTCCCAGAGGTTCCACAGAATCTGATGTTCTTCACAGTGTTGATGGTTATATATGGTATATGGTTTAATGTGGTGGTTCTAACATTATGTGAGCCTTAATCTGTGACTGTGTATTTTATCTTTCAAACTCTTCAACCACTGTTTTTATGAAGCATCTCCTGAGTAGAGAATGGTGGCTTATCTTAGCATAGCCACAGAATACTGAACTTGGAAATGTCTCATAGGCTTTGTGTGTAAATCCATTATTCAGCATGCAAGAAAGATCCAGTGGCCAGTCTTTTTGGTGCAGGCTTGAATTCATCCTTAGAGGATCTGTTATTCTCAGTGGGCCAAAAGAGGTCAGACCTGGTAACTGGCCTCTTAGTTGTCCAAGGTAAGGGGTCTGTTTCATTTAATGCACCCAGATAAGCCCGTGCATCTTTGTGCATGAGAATATTTTGAAATAAAATTTACTCAGAAAGGAGTTGTTTGGTACATTTTTCTCATTCAGATTGCTTCTGCCCTTTTGATAACACCTCAGAGATGTCTTTAGTTACAACCTTTTGAAACATACCCAGCCCCAACCTCTCTCCCCTTATCTTTCAGACTTTAATATTGTTTTATTTTTTCATTGTATATAGAATACTGCCTGGAACAGGGCTTCAGATTAATATGTGAAGAGATTGATGTAGTGTGAATATTAAAAAGTTAGATAAATATTTTTAATATTGTAGTATTAACATATTTATAAATGTACAAGTACAAATACATCAGAATTTTATTTTTTTAAAAAGATTTTATTTGAGAGAGAGAGTGTGAGAGAGGGCATGAGCAGGGGGAGAGGCATAGGGAGAAGCAGACTCCCTGCTGAGCAGGGAGCCCGACATGGAGCTTGATCTGGGATCATGACCTGACCTGAAGGCAGTTGCTTAACTGAACCACGCAGGAACCCCTAATCAAAATTTTAAATGTGTTACTATTAGAGTTCTAAAAAGGCCTTTTTGGGGTGCCTGGGTGGCTCATTTGAACATCTGCCTTCATTTCAGGTCGTGATTCCAGGGTCTCTGCTCAGCAGGGAGCCTCCTTCTCTCTCTGCCTGCCGCTCCCTCTGCTTGTGATCTTTCTCTGACAAATAAATAAATAAAATCTTAAAAAAAAAAAAAAAGCTTCCTCCTCCCTCCCATTATGCAGGTTTCTTCATGTGTACTTTCATATCACTCCTTTGTCCTTTGGGAGCTTCAGGTGAAGCGTGCCTTTCCCTCTTCTCACTGTGTTGGCACTCCTACCATACTCTCTTCGGTAATTTTGTATTTGTACAGAAATAGCTTCTGTAAGACTGATGACTATGGTGTTTGACAGGCTGTAGTGTAGCGTTGTGGTGTAAAGTGTATACTTGCCTCCAAGGATGCCTTCATTTACATTCAGCTTCCATCGCTCATGATGTTGTGACCTGTGGGTTAGTTCCTTAACCTTGCTGGCCCTTAGTTTTCTCATCTCTCAAGTAGATGTAATGATAGCCCTCAGATGGTTGTGAGTGTTAAATGAGATAGTAGGTGTGAACTATACAGAACAATTCTTTGCAGAGTAAGCAGTGTTAGATACTTTAAAGAAATATGTCACTTAGAAAACCAGTGCATGCCAGTGAAGAGCATAAATTGAGTTCATTGGAATCTCGAGTAACTGTTTGTTTTCTACTTTAGATCTGTTTGGCTAAAAGGAAGGCCCAAGACGTAGTGTGGATTTATCTTTTTTACCTTCGCTAAGCTCTTATCTTTATTTAGTCTTCAGTATTTCCCAAAATTTTGTAAACGCAAATAGCATTTTGTTACAGTTCTGTTTAGATGAAATTAATGATGTTTCAAGATGGATATGTACTTCTCATAAATCATGTACAGCAGTCTTCACCTTAGGTGATGATGGAAGATTATTCTAAGCCCTCAAATCCGTGGGGAAGGTGGCAGTTCTTGTTTATATTACTCTGTTTATGTCATTCTGTGGGAAAATAAGATTTGCTCTAAAAAGTGCAATGAGACTTACTTGTACTGCCATGTGGTAAATTGTCTTCTTTCGAACTAGCTTGCATATTACCTGTTCTGAGTTGGAGATAAAAACAACTGAGAATGTAGCTGAATTGTAAGCTGCTGGTTCTTTGTAATAGCTTTGTTTCTTTTATATTTGGTAGTTGATAGCCCATAAGCCCTGTGTAAGTCTGCTTACCTTGATTCCTACAGCCCATCATGTTCAGAGGTGAGGTCCGGCTGAATGTCGAGGAGAAGAAGACCCGAGCTGCCCGGGAAGGGGACCGTCGAGATAACCGCCTGCGGGGACCTGGAGGCCCTCGAGGTGGGCTGGGTGGTGGAATGAGAGGCCCTCCCCGTGGAGGCATGGTGCAGAAGCCAGGATTTGGAGTGGGAAGGGGAATTGCGCCAAGGCAGTGAATTGCTCTTCGTTGATCTTCACGCAGCAGTACAGATCTTCTACTAGCTCCTGCAGAATGGTGAATTTCTTACTACACCAGCGTTTGGTATCCTGGAGTTTGACCCAAGTCTGTTATAAACTGCTTAAGTTTGTACAATTTTACTTTTTGTGTTAATGATGTGTGCTCCCTCTCCTGCCCTTCCCTCTTCCTCACCTTTTAGTCCTTCACTTCCAATTTTGTGGAATGATATTTTAGGAAAAACAGATTTTTAAAGAAGAGAAAAAGACTGAATTTCCTTGCTTTACTTTGCATATACAGACTGGATTTTTTTTTTTAACAGCCGTTTCCCCAAAGGAATGTGTCTGGCTTATTACTGACATTTGGTATGTTTCATTCATCGGAATAGTTCTTATTTTCTATGTGTTTCAAAAGCCTGTGAGAAACACAGGTTTTGATAAACATTTTGAAGGCAGGAAAAATCCAAATTGTTTCTTCTTTGAGAGTCACAACTACCTTCTGGTGTGTAGAAATTGCCATTAGAAAAATTGACAGTTTTGATTCTTGCTGGTATGGTTAAAAACTGAATAAAAGGTGTTAGTAGAATTTTTTTTCCTTTTGATATGTGATCACAAAACAATGATAAGCCTACTGTTTTTACCATTTAAATTGTGGGATAGGTTTTAAATGTCTAGAATGCAACTGATTTAGATTTCTTTTGAAGTAGAGTGTTTTTCATGTTTAATTTGTATTTGTAAAAAAAAAAAAAAAAAACAAAACCCAAAAAACAAAAAAGAAACCCCAAAATCCAAATAACACAAAACCAGAGCAAACTGTTGTGCCTTCTCTTTATCTTTGATTCCAGCCTTGGCAGTTGTTTAAAGAAAAATTCAAAAAAAAAAAAAAGTCTAGATTTGTTTTATCAGGTGTAGAGTATGTTGGGGATTGAAGAATCCCTCTTTCACCTGGTATGTGTTCTGTTCATTTGTTATGCCTTATTTTTAAAATTGAGTTTCAAACTGGAATGCCTTTAAAGGACAGATATGCTTCTATAGAGGTCCTTTGACCTAAATAGTCCACCATTTGTATTAAGTTTTATTTTGGTATCTATTCAGAATCCTAATCATAGCCCATAAAAAGGAATATGACTTTAATATTGGACTTTGTGCTTGAGTGCCCGTTTTTTTTCTTTAAATCATAGCCATATGGTAAATTTTCTATTTTGTTAGTGGTTATCTTTTATTGATGGGCATGCAGTGGGTGTTTCTTGGAAATGGCCAATTTTTATTAAAATATTTCTGGAAGAAAATTTAACCTGGCAATATAGACTAATATTCGTTTTACATAGTATGTTAATTTCTTGAGTGCTGTGTGTGAGGTGGGTGAAGGTTTTGTTTACACATTTGTGAAGCAAGCCTTTGTGTGATAACTTGTCATACTAATTGAAGGACAACAAGGTTGTCAAATTTAACTTATTTATTTTCTTAACAGTTTCTTAACAGTGTTCATCATTAGGACTGTTTGAGGATAGTATATGAGTAGGAATAGGAATGTTTGTTTTGCTGTTACTGGGAAACTCTAGGTTTGCTGAAGGGTGTAGTCTTAAACTAAAATGAAGTTTGATATTATCAGTCCTCAGTACCTAAAATATTTGAAAATTGGCAACATCTCCTTCATAAAGAAACTTCTGTAACTGAGTCACATGGCTGTTTTTGGGTCAGCTTAAATAACTATTTGGTAACCACTTCATTTGGCCCAGGCCAGTGATAATTGGAAGACATTCAGCTTGTACTTTTGTAGCTTATATTAAGCCTGTGGTGGAAATTAAAAAAAAAAAAAAAAACTTAGCTGGAGTTGTTTTTAAAAAAAAAATACTAAGTTTTAGTAACTGTAAGGGTCATAAATTATGGATAACCTAGAAATCATTTTTCACAAGTAAATGTTAATCCATACATTTCACTAGGCATTTTTTCCCACTGAGTAGTTAAGGGGCACCAACTGGATGCAGTGATTCTCAACCCAGGCTGTTAATACATCCTAGAGGGCACTCGGAAATGGGTGAGATTTGGGGAGGAGGGAAGAGGAGTCCTACATCTGGCTTTTAGTGGGTGGGGCCGACAATTTCAAATGTTTCACAAAAATAAAGCAAACTCCATTGAGATCATGGATATTCCTCATTCCCTATAATACATGGAGGATGGAGCGGTGGATGGGGACAACTGGAGTAAAGACTCAATTCTATGAAAAATAGCCTCAGATAAATGAATTAGCAAATAGAAATCTCTTTCAGGAGTTAAAGTAACATCTGCAGGGAATTGATAATCTCATTTTCCTTTATTTGTACCCATGTGTGGTTTTTAAAGAAATATTTGAAGAGGTAGTAACAATATGCTAGATGCTTCTTGTAACTTGTTGCCTAAGCTTAGAAAACAAAGGGTTGCTTCACGTAATTTCAACCCACAAGCATGGGATGCTTGTGGAGTTTTAAATAGCATTGGACTTTATATGTCAGATTTAGCATCATGGTTAACACTGTGAAGAATCCCAGTATCGTTGTTTACATTATTGCTGATAGAATAAACATGATACCCTAGATACTGTGTATTCACACATGGAGAAAGTGAAAACAGGTTAGGGCAAGATTTTTTATAGGCAGCATCAGCTCATCACATTCAACCTTTTCAGGGTTTTAAAATACAACTTTTTGTCTCTAAGAATGACCCAATGTGCAGTTATTTTCTGCTGAGCTTTACACCCTTCACCCATGAGTATTTTAGCTAAGTAAGATTAGTTTGGGTCAATGCGTCTTCATCTTTTAAGATCTTGGGCCTTAATAAAATACATTTGTTTCCTTTTGTGGTGAGGTTGGGCTTTACTTGTGTATTCCTGTGCTCTCAACTTTAGAGCTATTGCTGGGAACAGTGAAAAGGGTAATCCAAAAATCACTGATTGGCTTTGGGTGGTGGGTAGGTTACTACCACAGTATTGGTTGAACTGCACTTTGGTTTTAGGTTGGAAAACTAATTTTCACAATTACCCTGTGGATTAGGTGCTGTTTTTTCCCCCAAAGTAATAGGTGAGGAAATTGCATCGGAACGGTTAAATTTTAGGCCTTGAAGTGATCCATGTAGCAAGGAGCAGATTGGTCTCCAAAATTGATGCTTTTTCTCTAGAACCCTAATGTGTACCTATTTACGTTTGAGTGATAATATTGAAGAATAGGACACGATCATAATAAGTTAATACAGTACAGAGACTGGAGGCTGTAAAACATTCAGAGGCAAGTTAATATTACTCTTCTCCATTTCCTTTAAGGTAAACAAGAAAAGGAAACAACGGATTTTGCAGGGCTCCTTTTGATTTGTATAGATGGTGGTAACACAGTAACAATGACTTGTTCTTAGGTTATTTTCTCATCTTGTGTTTTAATACGTGTAGTACAACCTTGAAATCTGGATGTAGAAGGTAACAATATTTTTATAATATCTTAATCCAGGTGGATTTATAGCAGTTGTGTTTTGTTCTTATAACTGCCATCCTTGATACTTTTCTTCATCCCTTTATTTGAAAACCCTTGTAGAGTTTAATAGTTTAGTGGGAAACGTGGCACTTTATAGAAAACAGAATCTATATGGAAATAATCTTTCTATGAGGTTTAAATTTATAGACCATTGTTTATGCTGAGTGGCTTGTTCCTTTTAAGTAAATATAGTTGCATTTGTCAAATCTACTGATCTACAGATAACTTGAAGTTTCCTACTTAAAAGAATTTCTGCAGGAACTGCATACAAATGAGATGACTTCGTAATTTTGAACCTTGTAAAAAAAATAACTTCAACATTTATTTGAATATGGGATTCCAGATAACTGCCTAATAATATACCACAGATGGGTGGTGGACGATTAGAGTTTTCCACAAATGTTTTAGAAATCTTAAAGAATGTGTTAGAAATTTAGCAACATTTTGTGTGGGAAGTTGCTGATCAAGTAAAGGCCATGTGGCACTAGATCAGTAAAGATTTCAGGTTTTAAGGTAGTAATACCTTTGGGATTTGTATTTGTTGACTGTGATATCGAGGTTCTGGGGACCATAGGTAGGCTTATGAACTCTTACAAGACTATATTAAAGAAGAAATGGTAGCACATATGAGAGAAAACTAACTTACTTAGTGAATATGTAGCTCAGGTTAATGCTGAAATTAGTCTGATTTGCTCATGCTTTATGAAACTCTCATTATGGCCTGAATGAGTAAAAAGTTGATTAGCAGTGGTCTAAAAAACCCATGGTTTTGGTTTTGGTTATATTTATATATTGGCTTAGAATTAAGCTTGTCCACTTTCTGATCATATGACTTGCCTTGAAAACCTTGGACAGTCTCTGCTTCTCCAGTTTCCACTTGAACCTGGTAGTCTATTGTTTGTTTTGTTTTGTTTTGTTTTTAAGTTCCCTACAAGAGGAAAGTAGTATGGGAAATCAGTTTCACAGTTACACTTCCATAGACCATGTGACCTGGCCAGTTACAGAAATCTGTACATGTTGAGTATTCCAGAATATGGCCAGTGTCAGATTCCTAAGGGATTTATAGCCATCTAGTGTGTCTTTATCTTTTAAAAAAGCAAATTAAGGGATGTTTACCAAAAATTCATTATTGACTTTAATAAGTATTTATTTTTCAGAAACCTGCTTATGGGATGTTTGCCTATATTTTTGGTAGTAATTAGAGAGATGATTATATCTCTCATTCTGGATGTAGGCAGTTTTAACTATTGCTATAATTAACTACCTTAGTTACTGATTTTCCCCCCAAGCTTTGATGTCACCTGTTGGACTTTGGATTTGGTATAAATTCTTAAATGTTTTTATGAAGTGTGTATACACTGATTTGGCTCTTTTAAATGAAGACAGTATACTAAAAAACCGACATAAAGCAGTTAGGGGAGAAGATTCTTTAAAGATTCAGTGTATGCTTAAGTAGATTATGTAGAACGCATCATGTTACAAATAAGTCTATATAGGTAGATGTTTGATTTTGAAGAATGGGTGGAGGAGGAACCTAGCTGATGGGGGAATAATCGTTTGTGATTCATATGGAAAAAATCATAATTCTAAGTGAGAAACATCAGATATTTAAAGTTTTTCTTCCCATTTTGATTATTAACCATAAGAGGCAGGAGAGACTCCTAGAATTCTTCGAATCCTAGAATGTTAATGCTGGAAAGGAATAAAGAATTTGTACATGCCCTTCATTTTTCAAAAGATCGATGGCTCAGAGAATGGCTTATTAGCACAGAGTCCCAAATTGGCTTGTAGAAGTAACATAAAGTACCTTTCAGGGTCACTACTCTGCCCTAGGTTCACCGTAGGAAGCCAGGACTGTTAGAGGTCAGGATGTGGGAGAAAAGGGAAGGAGCCACATTTTATATGCTTATTCAGTTGCTTCTGTCGCTCAGTTTTCATACCCAGTTTTTCTCTGTTTTCTTAGAACTATCTTAATGCCTAGTTCCACCAGGGCCTCTTGTCTAAGGACATGATGTTGTGCTCCCCTCAGGGATGGGTTTACTACTAGCTGTCCGAAAGCTATTGGGTATCCTAATGTGTTAATAGCTGAAACTCAGCTGTAATTTTCTCCTAAATCCGTCGGCATTTTGCATTCTGTACATTGTGGTGCTTCCCCACCTGTATTGTCGTAACCGTAAGCTCCTAAGGGGCGGCAGTTTGGTCTCAGGCGCGCACCTGTCAGTGCCTGGTGGCGCCGTGTCTGCGCCAGGGTCCTGGTCTTCCTTCCCAGTGATTTCTCCCATTCTTCATGGAGGTGTGATGCTCCAGCCATGCTAAACTACTTAGAATTTTTCTAATAAGCCTGGCTTTGCTGATTTTTGTGGCTTCAAGTGCCTTCTTTCTTCCCTGAAGATAGACTTGCATCTATGTCCCCCCTTCCCCAGATCTCTTGCCATCAAAATCACTTTTTTCAAGACCCAGTTCAAGAGCATTTTTCTTTTCCTAAGAGAAAAGATTTGCAGCAGGAGTGGAGAGCCCCCTTTTTGGGGTTGATTTGGCCAGAATTTGAAGTGGGGAGCAAATTCATTCTTGTCTGCTTCCCCTTCTACATTGTCCCTTCCTGTTTGAGATTCTGTCCCAACCTTCATTTTTTAAAGTGTGTGTTCATAGAGCACCTTATACCTTCTTCTAGCTCATCGTTTACCCCTTCAACCTACAAATAGAATGACCTGTATCTGTTTTACTACCTTATTAGACCATAAGGTCCTAGAGGAAAAGGACTGGGGGATTATCCCTCTATTTCACCAGAAGGTACAGTGACTTCCATGAAAGAGTCCTTCAAACATGACTCTTTAGGTTGAATAAATGTATTTCTGTTTCGTTCTCACAAGTGAGGCATGTCTAGAGATAGGACTTAATAAATTGTAGGTGCTATGACAATTCGTAGTGGAGGGATTTGTTGGGGGGAGTTTGGAGGGGTGGGCAGAGGAGGGAGGAAGTCACTGGTCATTCCGAGGTACTTCCATCTTTGGTCTGGGTGATAGGCCATTTCTTTCTGTGCCCATTATATCCAGACACTTTGTTCCATGCAGAAGAATTTTATGTGCCAACTTTCTTTTCGCAAACCAAGTCCACTGTTCTCTCAGTTCATGTCATCACCATGCCACAAGTCTAAGTCCTCTGCTGTTTTTTTTTCTTACTCCAGCTAAGTCCTGTCAGTGCTACCTCAAGTCTTTCATTTCTTTTTCCTCCTCACTCAGATAATCTCAACGGCCTCTCAACTTCCTTTACCTGTTCTGACCCCCACCCTACCTTAAACACAATATTAGATTCATCTTACTGAAACATAGCTCTGACCATGTATCCCATGTATGTGTTCTATCTCCCCTACTAGACTGTAAGCTCCTAATGGGCAGGATCTGTGTCGGAGTCATCTTTGTATCTCCCATAGTACCTATCAATAAATATTTCTTGAATGAACCAACATAAAGCCTTGTCTTAAGTGAAATGATGTTTTCAGATTAAACGTAGGTGGTTCTCTGAGGTAATCACAGTACTTCAGAAGTTTTTTTCACATACAGAGTTGGTTAAACAGTAACAACTATGAGTTAACCACAGAGAAAATTTCAGAAAACTTTAATTTTTTTCCATTGGAATCAGCATGGATATGTGTATATGGATGGTTCAATAAATATATATTTATATACATGTATCACAGAAATTTTACATTATATCTTCAAACTGCGGAAATAGATGTTTTTTAATAAGCCAAAAAATAACTGCCATAACTTTTATGATTTCATGCAAAAGAGGGGGAAGAGTAAGGGGTACAAGGGAATTGGTTGCTTCAGGTGAAGAGTCCAGTAAGAAGTAAAAATGTTACATTAAGGAAGCGATTGCTTAACACGCTGCTTAAGGTGGTAGCCAAACAGTTAAGGAACTGCAGCATTAAGGCCATACCAAGTTTATACATATATACAAAGAAATTTCCATATAAAAGACATACTATCACATTTTCTTGTGGGAAAGGATGAGGAGCTTCATGAGTAATTCTGACCCAATTTTCCAGACCAATTAATTGTTTAAAATGTCCTGAGGCTCCTTCTAAATCTCTTCTACTTTGACTAGCTGACAGTTGCTTTTATGTGGGCTTGTGACTTTTGTAGTCTCTTACGTGGAAGTATGAGTCATTTTGAACCTCTTCCATTATGGGTGATGAAGCACTTTGTAGTTTAACTCACACTGCCCAGCGCAACATATCTTTTTACATCTCCCAAAAGTATCGGAATCACAGTTGGAATTGTAACTTGGATTCGTCTTACCTGTAACAGGCTCCACAGCCAATGCTGGCATTGTGACCTGAAGAACTACACAGGGCCTGTTCTTTGGGGTTAAAATAACTTTTTGAGTAGTTAAAGTTTAATGAGCCAGATTGTGAGGTTTCAAGGTAACATCCCCTGGACCTGTTGAAAATTAACACTTTTACCCCCTATAGGTCATGACATACTTTTAAGTTCCTTTTTGGAAAAAAGGAAGTGTAAAATCACTTGCAGAAAAATAACATGGGGTTTGCTCTTCTATCAAATCAGGCAGCTTTTAAGACAAAGGGTAGGTCTGTTGTGCAAATATTGAAATGCGTGAAATGGGGAAAATCTATGGGCAAGTCCTTTGGAGATGACTTCCAGTTAGGCAGAAGTCATTTGCTTTGGCAAGGTTGGGGTATGACCCTCAAGAGTGCACACTCTGGTTCTCTCAGCATAAATTGGCCCATCTGAGTGGATAAATCTTGAGTAAAAAGGTTACGAAGTCTAAGATAAGTTATGTAAATAAAATACCCTTTTTCCCAGTGCCTGAGCCTTTATTTGATAATTTATAATTCCTTTAGAATGTTTTAAATTCGTCTAAAACTGCTTTTTCATTAGTGTTATCTTAGCTGTGAATTGGAAATCACTAGTAGTCCTTTTTGTTGCCATTTTTCAACTATGGCTCCAGCATGTTTACAACAGTATGGCTGCAAGGTAATTTATTCTCCTCCTGTCGGTTTCCTGGGCCCATCAAGTTTGAGAATGAGGTCTCTGGAAGTGGCCTATCTTGAGAGGACAAAAGACTGATTTGGAAGCCCTTTAGTGTGTTTGAACACTTGGGAAGTGAGCACTCACTGGTCTTCCCAATCATGCACCAGCCGCTCTTAACCCAAGATGATGCTAGCTGTTAACACTGCAATAATTCCATCAGTTATAGATAAAGGGATTTTCGCCAACGGGTCAGTTGTGATGCTGATCTACACAATGAGACATGGACATCCTTTGGCAGTCTTGTTCTTACCTAGAGGGCTTAAAAGTGTTAAGCCTCTTGTCTTGGTCATTTTGTGGTTCGCTTTGTACATTTCAAGGCTAATTATAGCCGTTGAAGACCTATATCGTGTCCAGCTTTTAAAACTTACTTGGAGGCCTCTGAGGTACCTGCTGTATCTTAGTTTTGAAAGTAGAACTTGGCTGTTTGCCTTTTTTTTTTTTTCCTTAGGTAGTCATTTTATCTGTGTCCAATATGCTAAGTAGCAGGATGCACCCTTGGGGACTAACAGTCCTCTCAGTTTAGCTGTCATTAGTGCTAAAAATACTACAGCGGATTAAGTACTGGAAGATTGGACCGTGAAAGTATGAAATAGGAATTTCAAGTGCTCCGAAGTGCATTGTAGGAACATAACAGTTTTTTAGCTCTTAACATGCTGTTCAGGCCTGTTGAGCATGATACACCTTTAAATGAGGTAGAAATACACCTAATAAGGAAACAGTTTTTAGTAAACTGCCTATTTGATACTTAAGTACTACTTTTAAGCAAGATTTGGGGAAGTCTTTCATTTACAGCGTAGGTAATACCTATTGCTCCATAATATTCTTTCTAAAGAATTTGCCTAAGAAAGGTAAATCGTTCTGAAAAAACAAACGAAAAACTACTCTTTTTACATATTTCCAGTAGCAATGACTTGATTAAAAACCAGTGGCATTTCATCTGTATTTTTTTCTACCCTTCCCCCTTGCTCCCCATACCCTTTTTTTTTTGTGGACATGATCTCATGGGTTGAATAGGGAAGTTCTCCCTGGGTTGGGAGGAGTCATTTCAGATGCAGCTAAGAAATAAAAAGAACATGCTAGACTGTATTTTCCTTCTAGGTCAGCTCTGTTTAATATTTCAGATCACAAAAGGTAATAGTATTTGGACCACAGCTCTCCTTTAGAAACATGTGCATTGTATTAAGTATTGGCTTGATAGCTGACAAAGCTGAAACTAGAAGTAACTTTTTAGAATCACTGTTGAATAGTGAGCTCACTGTAGAACCATGACTTTACCATACCTCTCTTATCCCCTTCCTAGTGCCTACCTAACACAACTAAACGCTTAGTAATTACTTGGGTTGGATCGATGCCCTTGAAGATATGAATTCCTAGAGGGTACCATATCTGCTTTGTAGATGAAGGCAAAGATAAGTTCTCCCTAAATAAGTACAGGGAAATCTGAATTAGGCTGGAAGTGTCAGCTCATGGGAAGAAGATAGAATAAGCGGGTTCTGCCCATGAAGGGATACTGTGTTGATTGGTCTTTGAGAACTGCCATGTTCCAGAGTCCTGATCCCTTATGCTATATGTAAGGTGGTTATGATATACTTCAAATCCATCTTTCCAAACATGCCTAGCATTCATTACACTTTAGCCAAACAGATAATTCCTGTACCTTGTATATGCCCCTTATTTTTTACCTCCATATTTTTACTCACGTTCCTTTTGCTGAATAGTCTCCCCATCCATCAAAGCCTCCTCTTTAAGGTACCACTGCTCAGATGGCCTGTAAGCCTTGAAATGTTCCATGGCTTCTGTTCTGCCTGCTCCCTGGCACCCTCCTTTCTCTGTTAATACTTTCTGCCTCACACATGAGTGATTATTTTGGCACTTTCATCATCCCCTCCTCTACTGAGGAAACCCAGAAAAGAGGCTGGGTTTCATTCGGATGCCCTGCTTTTAAGGCATACTGCCTGGCCGTAATAGATTAAATAGGCAGGTGCAAGGGAGGTTAAAAACAAAGCTGATAGACTGGAAGGAGCGTACATATTCTAGGCCTGACACTAGGTTTTAGGACCTGTTCCTTGAGTTTCCACTTGTAACTCAGACCTTGAAATGCTGAACTGCTTTCTCTAGGCTCTGGGACATTTCAAAAAGTCATCGGAAGGCAAGTCTATAGCAGCTACCTGGAGATGCACTGAATCTGACTTGAGGTCACTAAACAGGGTCCATGCCGAGTGCCCCTTTCCTCACCAGCATCCAGGGCTGTATGGAAGGAGCTGCCCTGGTCCTCAGAGAAGTAGCTAAGCCAATACTGGTGTCACTGCTGTAGCTTCTGGATACAGCTGAGGAGACGTAGATGAAGCCAAGTGGGACCTAGGAAGTGTAGTAAGCAGAGGCCTTGGCTCATGACCTCCTGTCTGGCTAATTAGCTCACACCCAGTTACCCAGGGGATTAAGTCCGGAACAAACGGACTTGGAGACAAGCTGCCGTTTCTACTTAGAATAATTTTTTGCAGGGGAGGAGGGTATATCCAGACATTTCCCTGTAATTCCATTTTCCCACTTTATTTCCAGAGCCTGGATGGAAGTAAAGAACCATTAGAAGGCCCTCCTTTACTGGAACATTTGGTCAGCCTGCCATTTTTAATACTCTTGTCGCAATGGTATCTCATACGAAGAGATGCTCCCACTTTACCTGAATACCTGCCTGAAGGAAGTGGTTTACTTGTGTTAACCCTTTGAAAGGTGGGTGAAACCACAGTTAACGTAAATTTGGGTAGCAAACTGCTGTGGAAAATAACCTTTTGTTTTAGCTTAGTTCTCATATCCTGTTCTCCACGAGACCTTGGATAGTCCCTCTGAGACATCATGTGTCTGAATTCTGTCTCTACTGCCTCCTCTGTTACTGTATCTTCCCTTGAATGAGTTATTCATATCCGTATCCCATATCACTGCACTAAATTTTAAGTTCTTTAGTTAGGAATGGTGTTTATCTTTCATTCCTGTGCCTTGGCATTGTTTGTAGTAGGTTCTTAGTCGAGTGGATGTTTTAAAGGAATTCTGAACTTCGGAAAGACTTCCAGAAAAAGTCTAGTCCTTCCTCTTGATGCTGACCAAATCCAAGCCATTCCACGCACCCACTGCCCTCAGGCAGGACTACAAACCAGTGTTTTCTCACTCTCCTCCAAGTAGCATGTTTTCTACCTGGCCTTCTTGCTTACTCATTTTATTCTTTCCACAATTTCACAGCCAGAAAATTGCCCCATATCAACTCTAAATCCCTCATACGCCAAAACTAGATTAGTAGGCTCTCAACTTACGGTGGGCTGGTATTGTTTATATCCAAGTTCTGAGAAGAGGAAAGCCACAGATTGTCTTGTTTGGTTCTTAAGAAGTAGTTGGATTTCTAGTCTAGTACAAGATAGT